TTTCGAAAAACGGAAAAAAAGGGAGGCGAAAGAGAAAAATAGAAAGAGGTAGGAATAAAAACGGTGAACGGCAAGAGAGGGTCAACTAGTCGGAGTATTTTCAAGGCGGCACAGCACTGTGCTGCTGCGCGGCGTCCTGCGTCCCTGAATAAAACGCCGGTCGTACGTAAACGCCGCGCCGGTCGACCTCGCGGACGGAAGAAAGCGAGAAAGTGCCCCGACTCCCGTGTATCCGATCGGCCAGAACTTAAATGTCGTTTAATCATTCGGACCTGTTAACTTTCCAACACTACATTGATTCCGATTAATTTTTGAGGGATACGGACTGGTTTGCGCGCGATGCAAATCGATTCACGGAAATGCGATTTTTCTTACCCCGACGATTTTTCGTACGGTAAACGATTAGAAAAATAAGAAAATGAGAAAATATTTTGGACACAGATTATTATAAAAGTTTGGATGAATCCAAATATAGATTCAATGGGACGAACGAAAAATCGTGCAACGGCGGAGATTCTCGTAATTGGAAAGCGAATCCGATTAAACGGGCGGTTGATAAATATTAAACAATTTTTTCTCTTCGTTCCTCGAGCTAGGCGTCACCACGTGGACTGGAGAAATGAAACTTTCTATAGAGGTCTAAGGCGAACTGATTTCTCAATAACAAACGATGGCGCAAGTTCTTTCGCAGTCGAGAATCCGTACCCGTATCAAATACATCTGTGCGAATCATGAATGAATCATGTTGATTTTTGTAATTGATTCGAGCAATTCGCGCGAGTATTCACACAAAGTGACTTCCATATTGTGTGTTTATTCTTGGGTACAGCTGTTTTAGTGAGGCCGATTTACTTTAGCCGATCTATGAGATAAAATCGAGAGAAATTCAGAGTAACAATACTGGAAATGATACGATCACTGTTAGAACTATGAGAGAACAATTGAAACGGTAGCTAAGCCTACATCGTTGCCATGAGCAGTAAAACAATAAGTCGGCTAAAGGTCATGTTCTCAGTCATCGTGCCACTTTTACTTTTCAAAATCCTTTGTAAGCTTCTACTATCGAATGTATTAATATTTTACTGCCGTTAGTTCTTACAGTTATAGCACAATCGTTTCAGCGTGTAGAAATTTGATTGTAAAATGTATTGTTACGGATATAAGTATTGAGTAATCGTTAAATTATTCATTTTATGAAATTACTCACCAAGACAGATTAGCAGACAAAATACCTCCGTCCTCATCCTGACGGAGGGTGAAAACGACTGGAAAGGGAATTAAGTGTGATTTTTATCTTGGAATCAAATCACGGTTCTTCGAACGTGAAGGAATTGATGACTAGAGACTACTGGGCCCCATCGAGAGGGTCCCAGAGCCTTATATGCATCCCCCACTTTTCCATCGGTGGCGTTACAACACCCAACAACCGCGTAGAAGCATAGGTAGATTCGTTGCTCTTGTGCATACGCGCATCGAACAGGTGATCCGTTAATGATGCATCGACTTAATAGTACATCATCGAAGAGATCAATGTTCTACATTTACTTTTGTGGTGTCCCCTACACGTATCTTTTTAAAGCAGGATTTAACACTTGTTTTAATTAACCAGTTAATTGCGTTCAACGAGAATACACGTCGTCTTAAAACACAACACGGTACTAACATTTTCAACGATGAATTATTTATTTTTTCAGATGAACGAGTACTTCTTCGGTATATATTAATTACAGCATTCAATAATAATATATTTATTATAAGCATTCAAGAGTAACTATTTATTCTTAAAATAATTTCGAATATTTATTACTTTTAAAATATTAACAATTGTGAAATGCACAAATGAAAAGTCGTCAAAATAACGGGTGAGATAGTTCTGGTGTTAATCAGTTAACTGCATTTGACTAGTATACGAATATATCATTTTAAAACGCAAAATGGTACTAACATTTTTAACGATGAATTATCTATTTTTCCAAATGAACATATAATTCTCCATTGTTTCGCTGTCGGGTTTCGCTAGAATGTATTATAAATACTTTTTCCCTCATTTGACGAGTATACACTTTATTATTTGATTTTATTACGCGCACAATGAGCAATTTTTCAATCTGTATTCTACACTTAACTGGTTAAATAGTCGTATGTACTTAAACTTTGTATATGTATATTTTGATGTATTTTTAGTGTTAACACTTTCACACTGGCATGTATCACCGGTGGTACATAGCTAATTTAGTACCTTAAAATAAATCAACATTAATAAGTAAATTATTTATCAAATTATTCATTTACATTTACCCACAATTAACAATTAAAGTAAGAAAAATGGAAACGTAACAAGAGAATCTACTTCAACATTATTTTTGGAAACATTATTAATATTATGATCTATGATTAAATGTATAGAAATCTATCCCGACGTGAATGCGTTAATAAAATTATTTTTGGATTTTTCATAGTTGTAGACTGTAATAACCATACAAATCATCGTTGCCAGAAATGAATCGGTGACTTCTTTAACACCTTATTATTCTTCTATTCATTAAAAATGAATACTCTTTTCACCTTTCATTTAACAAACAAAACAGAAATTTTTGTGATATTGTGATAATTTTAATGTCGACAATTTCCACAAATATGAAGAATAATTTTTTAAGAAGATAAACAAATGTGGTAGTAATTTCTGAAGAAATTGTGATGAAATTTTAAAAAGCTGTGTCTCTAGAAAAAGTTTTGTAAACAATTTTAAAATATAGCATTAGCTATTTATTATTCTTGTTCTTATATTAATATATTATATCGTAATATTAATATTCGTAATATTAATAATCGTGATAATGGTATATTTTTGAGGCTTCGACAATGTCAAATTGTTAACATTCAGAATGGTCAAAGAGCTCGCAGTTTTCACGATTGGCAATTTCTTCTGTATTCGTTGCAATGTTTATTCCCATTACGTGCATTATTTTCATTGTTGAAATAAATCCTTCATTGAATATTGATACAACGAAATACGTTGCAATATCGCCTGTTTCTTTCTCAATATGAATGTTTCAGTAAAAACATTTATGTTAATGGGCAGGACGATCCATTGTTATTTAATTTAAATTCACCGAGCCACCGTTTAAACAAATAACTGATAATTAGTATAATAATACTATGCAGTATTTTTTTATTTAGTGATAGGATTTTCTATGTCTGAAACTAAGATTAACTTGTACGTTCATTTTACAGCTCTTCATGCATGATTATGCACTTTAATTCAATGTGTAATTTACAAAATTGTTTATATTTTCGATGGTTTCGATACAAATACTCGACTGTTTCATTCAACAAACAAAATAAAATAAAATAGAACTTTTTTTTCATGTATAAGATGTTCAAAGTACAAATATAAATTGTAAAGTGCAAGAGTAATAAAAAAATAATTATCTAAATTACTAAGTACTGTGAATAATTATTTATAACTTTACAGTTCAACAAATAATATAAAATAATGTTGGCATTACATTTTTAATAATATAAACATCGAAAAAAAATTTTTTAAATTGATAGTTTTATTCTTTGAGTCTCCATAACCACAAAAATATTACAAAACTTTTCTTCGAAAAATCATTGTTTCGCATGCTTGTACATTCTCGATATCTTCCATCACAAATGGAACGCCAACGGTTCACACGGGAACAATCGTGAAGCAATTACCTTTCGAGACTTCATTTGAATATTCCTTAATAAAAATTCAATTATACAACGGAAGAATCCTTTCTATAATAATTCTCCTTTTAATCTACGTATCTTGCACGAAGTTAATAACACGTTTCCCTGTCCCACCATCCTTCAGGATTCTTCCTGATCCAAAGCTTTCGTAGCTCGTCGTAGATCAAGATAATTATAGCGTACTGTACACGCGGTAGCCACCATTCTAACTTCAACGGGTAAGTCCTGAGGATCTTGTCCATGTACGGCACGTAGCAGACGACGCAGGCAATTATTATCTCGAAAAGTATGCCGAAGTTGAGGACCCAGTTATGCATGCCCTGATAAAAAAGAGAGTTCCGCCGGGTTTTGCAAATCACGACGTTGGCCACTTGAACGATCACTATGCTGACGAAGAAAGCGGTATGGCAAGTGTGTTCGAGAATCTCGCGTTGTTCGTACGTCCATTCTTGGCCGAAACTGTCTCGCAAGTCGTTCACTACGACGCTGTCCCACGCCGAACGGAGATCCAGCAATTTACCAGGTAGAAAACTGTGTTCCGCCATTATAACGAAATGGGTGAAGAAACCAGCGCAGGCTTTGATTACACCGATTTGACCGTAAGCCATGAAAAGTAGTTGTCTATTGACAAGGTGATCTACATGAAGCACTGAGGGTTTTCTGAAAATTCAATTGCACCACGAAGTCACCAATGTGAATGCGTTGTTTGTTTTAATTTGATTTAGTTAGATTTTTGTTCATTTTCTTTATTTCGTTTAAATATTATAATATTTCAAAAGTAATATGATATTAATAAATAATAATAATAAATAATAATATAATATTAATTTTAATTGTATAATACGCGACATGTATTTGTTCGATAACAACTGAACTAATAATTGAATTGCAAACCTGTTTGTAAATTCAAATTTTTAAGAATATCATTGAAAAATAGATTTGTGGTAAGAAATGGATTTTTATGACAAAAATTACAAAAAGCATTACACTTTGGATATTTTATATACTTCCTCATAATGTGTATATTTTATGTAATTTTGTCATTTTTTATGTTTGAATTTTCTTATAAACGCATAAAAATCTACAGCCTACTAATGATATTTGAACCATTTTTTAAATAATATTATTGACACCTGATCTTGATGTCGGATGCGGACTTCTCATATGCCAGGGAAGCAGCAGGGTACATATCTGTGCCTAGATCTATACACAATACACATATGACGCCTACAGGCAAAGGAATTCCAAGAATGATGAACGCCAAGAAGGGTGTTATCTCTGGAAAGTTACTGGCCACAATATAAGCGATACTTAATTTCAAGTTATCAAACAGTCTTCGCCCTTCTTCAATTCCAGTAATTATCGACAAGAAATCATTGTTTAATAGAATTGTCTGTTAAATTAATTTATTATCTATAAAAAATTTAGTATCTAAAAAAATAATCGATATGAGCTATTTAATATGAAGGATATTTAATACCATTCCATTTTTCATATAGAAGTACGTAAATGATGTATAGAACATATTTCATAAATAATAAACAATAAAGGAATAAAGTGAAGTTAAACAGAAATTAATGTTCCCAAGTTTATCATTTGTACAAATAAATGATTACGTTATACCACCAGTAACTTCTATTGTAAATACCAAAATATTGAGGAATAATAATTAAAATTTAATGATGACATTAACGAATTTCAGAGATCTGGCATAATTATTACATATAACCATACTAAATATTCGCTACTATAATTATATAATTATATATAATAATAAATTTAATATTTAACAAACTTAAAATAGAAGTATATAAGATATTTACCTATAATATTATATTGGAACGAAAGAAAGTATCATCGCAATATTCATTATGATATTTCTCGTTTTACTAATCGTATAAAATTAACTATATTATTGAAAATCTTTTTTAAAAACTTGTATAAGAAATTCTATTGTTAAATTTTCGAAATACGAGACAACAATTGAACATTCTCATTACTTTAAACCTTAAAAATGTTAAAATTAACGTGAAGATTTATATGATAAAAACACCTGAAATGCCCATGGCGATTCCAATGTCGGCCTTCTTTAATGCCGGCAAGTCATTAACTTCATCGCCGGTGACAGCTGTAATTAAATGTAATCTTTGGCAACTCTCGACAATCTAGAGCTTATGCACGGGCGACGTTCTCGCGAAAATTATCTCAGGATATTTCTTTATAATCCCGTCAAGTCCTTCCGGTTCAAGATCCTGTAATTCGTTTCCTGTTACCACTATGGAACGTTCGTATCCATTGTTACCATTTTGCGAGAAACCATGGGTAATAATGCCTACGTATTTCGCGATTGCTCTGGCTGTGTCAGGGTGATCACCAGTTACCATGATCACCTTGATTCCGGCGCAGCGACACTTGTACACTGTGTCTGGAACTGTTGGCCTCGGGGGATCCATCATCGAAATCAGCACAATCTAACAATATAAAGTGCCAAATTGCTTATGCAAAGTGTTATAATTCGTTAATTAACTAGTATAGTGTGCTAATAATAATTATCATATCACAAATTTTCACTTATCTAACAACTTATCTAACAACAACGGACTGTCACTGAATGCATCATTAACACGTT